AAATCCTGCCGACTTTTCCCTAAACTTGAGGCACCTTGGTGGAGGATCTAGGAGTTTAGTTTGAGTATCTGTGGATAATCTAAGGCAGAAGTTTTTAGTCCAGCTGTACTTTGGAATCATGTGAAGAGTTTTGACTAGTGTTATTTCTGATACTGATGTCCTGGGCTCTTTCCCAAAAAGATAACTATTGACACCAGGCAGGTGGATTTTTTAAAATGTTCCCCAATGATTAATATGTACACAGGACTGGAAATAACTTCTCTGAAGATTTTTTTTCCTGATTCTGAGCACTCATCTTTTCATTGATTTTCATTAAGGCAAGTCTTCCATCTCATTCTGGGTCCTTATTTTTCTTTCTCAAACTATAACTTCTCCAGAAGTCCCTGGATTTCCCCAAATTCTTATATTCCATTATACCTCTGTTCTTTAAGTAACCTAGCTGATCCCAAGCCAGCATCATCTTCTGAAACCAAACACTATCTGTTTCTTAAGCCTTATTATGGGTTTGTTGTTCTTCAATAAATTTACATAAATAATTATTTAATGATTAAAAGATGAGCCATGGAGTCAGAATTGAGTTTTTTTATATTTCTTCCCCATTAACTCTGAAACTTACTAACACTTTTGACAAGTTAGGGAACAATGATAGTCTTAGTACTTAGAATTATCATAATGATTTGATAAATTGAGGCCTATAAAGTGTTTACATGGTGCCTAGAACACAGAAAGTGCTCAAGATTATTAACTGTTATAGTTACTGTACTAAATGCTCTAATCAAAAGATATAGGGTGGCTGATTAGATGTGAAAAATAAGAGCCTAAAAGAGTCTCACTTCAGGACTAAAGAAACAGAGACAGGAAGTGTGGGATGAGAAAAGATACTTCATGCAAATAGAAATGATGAGAAAGCAGCTGTAGCAATAGACTTTAAAACAAAGACTATAACAAAAGACAAAGAAGGAGGCCATTATAATAATTACAAAGGAATCAATACAAGATGACATTATACTCATTAATACATATGCACCCAATATGGGAGCACCTAAATATATAAAGCAAATACTAATAGACATATGGAGAGAAATTGAAAATAATAGAATAATAGAAGGGGAGTTTGACACCCCACCTACATTAACAGACAGATCTTCCAGATAACAAATCAGTAAGGCACAAGTGGTCTTAAATGACACAATAGGCCAGCTGAGCTTAATAGATACCTACAGGACATCAAATCCAAGAAGAGCAGAATACACATTTTTTTTCAAGTATATATGGAATGTTCTTGAGGATAGATCACATACTAGCCACAAAACAAGTCTCAACAAATTTAAGAGGATAAAATTATATCAAACATCTTTCCAACCACAGCTGTATGAAATTAGAAATCAATTACAGACAGAAAAATGGGGAAAGAAAAAACATGCAGAGACTAAATAACATGCTATCAAAGAAACCAATGGGTCAATGAAGAAATCAAAATGGAAATCAGAAAATACCTTAAGATTCAATGAAAATGGAAACAGAACATTCCAAAGTCTATGAGATTCAGCAAAAGCAGTTCTAACAAGGAAGATTACAGTGATGCAGGCCTTCATCAACAAACAAGAAAATCTCAAACAAGCTAACCTACCACCTAGAGGAAATAGAAAAAGAACAAACAAGCTCAAAGTCAGCAGAAGAAAGGAAATAATAAAGATCAGAAGCAAAATAAATTACAAGTCAATATCTTTGATGAATATAGATGCAAAAATTCTCAACAAAATGTTAGCAAACCAAATCCAACTATACATAAAGGGACCATACGCCAAATCAAGGGGGATTTATTCCAGGGATGCAAGAATGGTTCAGTATTCACATCAATCAGTGTGCTATACCACATTAATAAAAGGAAGGATAAAAACACATGATCATCTCAATAGATGCAGAAAAAACATTTGACAAAATTCAGCATTGATTCATGATAAAAACTCATCAAAGTGGGTATAGAGGGAATATATTTTCAACATAATAAAGGCTATTTATGACAGATACATGGACAACATCATACTCAATGGTGAAAAGCTGAGAACCATTCCTCTCAAATCAGGAATAAGACAAAGATACCCACTCTTGCCACTGCTATTTAACATAGTATTGAAAGTCCTGGCCACAGCAGTCAGACAAGGAAAGGAAATAAAAGCCATTAAAATTGGAAGGGAAGAAGTAAAACTGTCACTATTTGCAGATGGCATGAACTTTATATAGAAAACCCTAAAGTTTACACCAAAAAAAAAATATATATATATGTGTGTGTATATATAAAACAAATTCAGAAAAGGTGCAGGATATAAGATTAATATACAGAAATCTGTTGCTTTTCTATACTAAAATTAACTATCAGAAATTTTTAAAAATTCCATTTAAAATCACATCAAAAAGGATAAAATACCTGTGAATAAACTTAACTAAGAAAATGAAAATCTATACTTTGAAAGCGGTTAAACATTGATGAATAAATTGAAGGTGATACAAAGAAATAGAAAGCTATCTCATACTCTTGGATTGGAAGAATTAATACTGTTAAAATGGCATGCTACACAAAGAAGTCTACACATTTAATGCAATGCGATCCCTATCGAATTACCAATGGCACTTTTCACAAAACTAGAACAAATAATCCTAAAATTCATAACCACAAAAGAACTCAAAGTGCCAAAGCAATCTTGAGAAAAAAGAACAAAGCTGGAGGTAATCACCCTCCCAGACTTCAGAATACATTACAAAGCTACAGTAATCAAAACAGCATGAACTTTTAAAAAAGGCATGGTACTGGGACAAAAACAGACACATTGCTCAATGGAAGAGACTAGAGAGCCCAGAAATGAACCCACAGACCTACAGTCAATTAATCTATGACAAAAGAGGCAATGATATACAATGGAGAAAAGACAGTCCATTCAATAAGTGGTGCTGGGAAGACTGGGCAGCTACATGTAAAAGAATGAGATTTGAACATTTCCTTACACCATATACAAAAATAAAGTGGATTAAAGCCCTAAATATAAGACCTTAAACCATAAAACTCGTAGAAGAGGACATAGGCAAAACAGTCTTTGACGCAAGTTTGCTGTTTTTTTCTTGGATCTGTATCCTACGGCAAAAGAAATAAAAGTTTAAAAATGATCACATGGGACCTAATTAAACTTAAAAGCTTTTTCACAGCAAAGAAAACCATTAACAAAATGAAAAGACAACCTATGGAATGGGAGAAAATATTTGCAAATGATATGACCAACAAGGTCATATAAATACAAATATATAAATAGCTCATAAAACTCAATATAAAAGAACTCAATCAAAAAATGGACAGAAGAAATAAAATGATACTTTTCCAAAGAAAACATTTAGATGGCTAACAGGTACATGAAAAGATGCTCAACATTGTGAATTATTAGAGAAATGCAAATCAAAACAGCAATCAAATATCACCTCACACCTGACAGAATGGCTATCATCAAAAAGTGTAAAAATAACAAATGTTGGCAAGGATATGGAGAAAGGAAAACTCCTGTACTGTTATTGGGAATGTAAATTGATGAAGCCAGTATGGGAAACAGTATGGAGGTTCCTCAAAAAACTAAAAATTAAACTATCATATTATTTAGCAATTCCACTCCTGGGTACATATCCAGAAAAAGCAAAACCACTAATTCAAAAAGATACATATACCCTGGAGCTCACAGCATCACATTTACAATAACCAAGATATGGAAGGAACCCAAATGTCCATCAACCAAGGAATAGATAAAGAAGATATGGTATATATTTACAATGGAACATTGGTCATAAAAAAGAATGCAGTACTGCCATTTGCAGTGACATAGATGGACTCGAAGAATATTATGCTAAGTGAAACAAGTCAGAGAAAGACAAAAACCATATGACATCATATATGTGTGATCTGAAAAGTAAAATGAATATATATAAGAAAACAGAAACAGACTCACAGATATAGAAAACAAACTAGTGGTTACCCATGGGGAGAGGGAATGGGGGACAGACAAGATAAGGATGTGGGATTAAGAGCTACAAACTACTATGGATAAAATAGATAAGCAACAAGGATATATCATATAGTACAGGGAACTATGGCCATTGTTTGTAATAACATTTGATAAACTACAGTCTGTAAAAATACCAAGTCACTATTCTGTACAACTGAAACTAATTTAATATTGTA